ACCAAAAAAAAACAAAGCAAAATAAATCACTTTTAATCTTAGCACTTATTTAGTTGACAGCAGTCCTACTTCTAAAAGTATCTGTGAGCCAAAAAAACACATCTGTGAGAATAGTTATCTTTATTAAAATGCTTGTATAAACTTAGGAAAGATCACCTTTATGAAATGTATATATCGATAGTGATTATTACATACAATTACATATAAGGTCAGTGTTGTAATTTTGAAGGTCCCTGATGAGTGAAGGACAGCATTGGACTGGGGTGTAGCCAGTGGTAAAGTGATTGCCTAGCAAGTATGAGGCCCTTGGTTTGTTTGATCCACAGTACCTCAGAAAAATAAATTAAAAAACAAAGAACAATATTATATTTTAAAAAAAAAAGATTTAGTTCTCACATTAATGAAAAAGGCCTAAAAGATTACTCAGAGAAGAATCCTAAGTTCCAGTATGGCATCTCTTTGACTGATTTCTGATAAGGAAAACTGAAACCTTTCTTTAGGTGGGATATCACTAGGATAATCTAGAACAAATCAAAACAAAATATTGTTGCAGTTAGTTTGGCCTTTATGGAGAATTCTTTGTAAATTTGATAGGTTGGAATAGCCTTTCTAGGTGCTGTGTTTCTGACAGCACAGCTCTTAGGTTTGGTTTTATTTGTCTGTCATTTGAAATAGTCACGGGAGACAAGCTTGTAACATGTTCTCCTTGTTTCTAGATCTTATGTCGTCTCTCTAAAGATTTCTTTCAAATATGACATCAAATTATTTTAGTGAGGTATTGCTACAAAAGAGGTTGAGTTTTCTTTTAGATGCTTTTACTAAAAGCCAGCAGTATCTCTCTGGAGCCATACTGGAACTTAGGATTCTTCTCTGAGTAATCTTTTAGGCCTTTTTCGTTAATGTGAGAACTAAATCTTTTTTTTAAAAAAAATCTCTGTGCTTAACAGCAATGCTTGCTGTCTACCAAAGACATTACTAGGGGCTGGAGAGATGGCTCAGTGGTTAAGAACACTGACTGTTCTTGCAGAAGACCGGGATTTGAATCTCATCACCCACATGGCAGCTAAGAACTGTCTAAACTCCAGTTCTAGGGGATCCGACAGCCTCTTCTGTCCTTCGTGGGCATTGCACAACATGGGCACACTTAATGTGCAGGCAATATACTCATATACATGAAATAAAAATAATAAATTAAAAATGAAAATAAGACATTACTAATCTTATTTGGACTGATTATAAGTTAAACATGAGAAAACCTTACCCATAGCTTCTTGGAGATGTACTTTTTTCAGTCTCTGGCACTACTGGGTATCTCCCAGGAACAATGAGATTGACAGCTCAGCTCCTCAGGGTTTTTATTAAGTGCCTGTGGTCTATACCACTGTAGGAACTAGTGATAGTATTAGGAATCTAGAGGTACAATGGCATTCAAAACAGATGTCATCCTACTCTTATGAAGTCTATAACCAGATATGCGATAGATCAATATGTAATCAAATAACTATGCTGAGAATGTATAGTTTATGAATAGGAGCTCTTGGATTGTATTTATTAGAACTTGCCTCTGGTCAAAGGATCAGCGAAAGGTTTTTTTTTTTTTTTTTTCTCTACCACTTATCTCTTCTAGTATTCATTGTACTGGTGTCTAACAAAAGACACATTGAACAGACAATCCTATTAATTAATCTTTTATCTTTTATCATAAAAGCAAATCAGTTTTGTGCACTATTGTTTATATTCCTTGAATTCTTTGTAGACTTTATAATACTACAGATACTAGCATGATCCAGATTTTATTTCTTATAATAGACTTGATTTTTTTCTTTAATTCAATTATATTAAACGTTTGGATCTGCAACTCAGTATACTTAATCAAGCAATTATACAAAAAGTAATGCCAAGGGACATTTTTTTAAGTTGAGGTAGTCTGTTTTGGGTTTTCTTTTTTGTTTTGTTTTGTTTTTGGTGATTGCTTTTTTTGTTGCTGCTGCTGTTGTTTTTTGACAGGGTCTTTCTAGTCACTGTGCAACTGGAAGCCATGATGAGATCCACCTGCCTCTGCCTCCCAAGGGGAGGTGCATGACACCACACACAGCTTGAGGTAGTCTGTTTTGAATGCTTTCTTTGAGCATGTAATGGGAACCTCAGTTTTATTCTTTCTTCATTCCATCTTCATGCTGATAAATAAGCTTTCAATTTTAGGATTATATGGGTAGGTTATTAAAGTTAATATGTCAGTATATCGGGTTAAAAAATTGTTGCAGGCTGGGTGTGGTGGTGCACACATTAATCCCAGTGTTCGTGAGGCAGAAGTAGGCAGATCTCTGTGAGATTGTGGCCAGCCTGGTCTACATAGCAGGTGTTCCAGGTTAACTAGGACTACAGGGGGACCCTCAAAAAAAAAAAAAAAACCAAGACAACAAAAATTATTGTTATTGAGATGTGTGTATGCCTCTAGATTTCTTTAACATTAATGACAATGGCATTCTGTACTCTTAAGTAAGGTTAAAGTGTGCTTTTAACTAAAATTTGTTAAAAACTTAGAGGACCATTTTTAACATCTTTATAAATCAGACGTTCTTCATGGGAGTAATTTTTAAAAATTAAAACATGAATAAATTGTGCTATATGACAAAATATATAATTTTATCTCTTTTATAATAAGCATGTTAATTTTACCACCTAAATCTGTTACCATTAATAATAATAGTGGCAAATGTTGCTATTTTAAAAGTCTTTTAAAAATATTTTATTTATTATATTTTAAATTTTGTGTATGAGTGTATTGCCTGCATATATGTGAATATACCCGTGTCGTGTAATGCCCATGGAGGTCAGAAGAGGGTCTAATTCCCCTGGAACTGAAGTTATGGACAGTTGTTAGGCGCTATGTGGGTGCTGGGAATTGAACCTGGGTCCTCTCCAAGAGCAGCCAGTGTTCTTAACCACTGAGCCATCTCTCCAACCCTGGAAATCTTATTTTCTGAGTTAAGTAAAAATAGAAGTTTTAAGATAAATGTAGTGTCTTACTTTTGTCTATATTCATAGACTGTATAACCCAAAACAAATAAACTCTAATGTAAACTATGGATTCTGAATGATAGGTGTTGGTTTATGTTCTTCAGTGGTAACAAATGCACCATTCTGGTGGCAGGTGTTGGTAATAGGGGACACTGCATGTACAGGAAATGAAGGCATGTGACTATCTGTGCAACTTTTTGTTTTACTGTGAACTTAAAATTGCTCTAAAATAATCTTCAGAAAACAACTCTTAAAAAGTGAAGAAATCTTTCTCAAACAAAAGGTAAGTATAATGTTAATAATGAAAATAGAAAATGTGACTATTGCATGTTGCAATGGTTAAATTTTTCATTTTGTGATTTTTTTTTTCCTTTATAGACATTCCACTTCTTCCATCTATTTCGTCTTTGAGTTTAAGTGAAAATGAAGAGAAGAATGGACCTTTTGTGGTACACTGGTTAAACAATAAAGAGTTACATTTTAGTTTGTCCATGGAAGTCTTCTTACAGCAACTTAGGAAAAGTTTTGAACAGCCCTCTTCTGAAGCCAGTGCAGAAGACTCTGTTCAGGCAGATGTAAAATCGGATGAAGGTAAAGATTAAGAAGAATGAAATTTTAAACTTTTGATTAAAATAGCAATCTTTTTTTTATCTTAGGGTAAAACTACTTGTCAGAGATACAAATCCAAGATTGCAGTTGCATAATGCAAATACGCACTGGCTCCTTGGTGTAGATGCTGTGCCTCATGTAACATTCTTCCACATGGTGATTTATGAATCCAGAATTTTCTTTTCTTCTGTTTATTGGTCCCCTAAGATCTGCTACTTAATGAGCTGCTGTGTTAACATTACCAAATAACATTATAAAAATATATAATCTCTTACTCCACACAACAACTAAACTGAATCTGCAAGTTTATTTCTAGCTGATATGCATGTACATTAAAGTTGAGGATCATTGTATGGATGAAGGCAGCTATGTCGCTACTTTGTCACCAGTGCCATACCACATTATATGTAGGGCCATAAACTTTGTTGTATTCATCCTGCCATTGAGAGGGAGAAGGAGAGAGAAAGAGGAGAGAGAAAGGAGGGAGAAAGAGAGGAGAGGAAGCAAGAATATGGGGAGGGGGAGGAGGAAGGGAAGGAAGAGAGAAAAAGGGGGTATCAGCATTTCCTTGCTTTGGCTCATAATTGACACATACCACATACACTTTTACTGTATTGGTAAGAAACAATCACAGGACCCGATAACCATTATGTACCAAACACTGTGAAGTAGTAAGCTATGCTGTGTAGTTAGCCTTCTCTGCTCTTTTTGTGGTTCATAAATGAATATTTTTCCAAAGTACAGATGTAAAAATATGGAACTTTTAGCTAACTTCCATGTCATCCTTCTACAGAAGTCATGCCAATCTTCTCTGTATCGTTCCAGTTTTAATATATTTGCTGTGGAAGCAATTGTGTTTGTTTTGCAAACAACCTAGGCAAAAAACACAGCACATGCCAAGCAAGTGCTCTACCTCTGAGCTATATCACCAGCACCAAAAGTTTTATTTTAATTATGATTTTAAGAAACACGCTGGATGTGGTGGTACACACCTTTAATCCCAGCACTTGAAGAGACGGAGGCAGACAGATCTCAGAGTTTGAGGCCAGCCTGGTCTACACAGGGAGTTCCAGGGCAGCTGTGGCTACAGGGAGATCCTGTCCCAAAAAGGAAAAAAAAAAAAAGAAAAAGACTTGAAAAATAAATAAAATGGTACATATAAGTATAAAGCTTCTATATTGATAATTTCTTGAGTATTTTTTCTACAGATTATTTTTGTGTATTCAAATAAGCGTGTATATTGACAGGTAGTTTTTGTTTCTTTAATTTGTACTATGAGTATGTCCATTCATTAATGGATTAATGGATAGTTTTTCATTTTATTTTTAGTATTCTGTGCCTAAGAAGAAGCTTTAAAATTTCCTGTACTGATAAACATTTAAATTGGCTTAACTAGTTTTTATTATACTTTGTGGTTGTATAATAAGACTTTTTTTTTAATCTTTGTGTGAAGTTTTCTGTGACACATTTCTAGATGAAGAATTACAACATCTAGAAATACCAATAAGTTTTAACATAGTGCCTTATAGTTATTTTTTTCTTGTATCCAAGTGTCTTCTTCCCCATCCTTTTAGCACTGGATCTTTTCATTATACTACTTTTTTATTTTTTGGCTAATTAATAAGAAGAAACTGGCATCTTTACTTTGTATCTTCTTTTTGAAGGAGTATGTGTGGTGTGCATGCAAGTATGTATGTATATTGGCATGTGTGTGGACATATGTGTATGCATGTGTGTGGAGAAACAGTTGACTAGGGTGTCTTCCTCGATTGCCCTTCACTTCATTGAGGCATAGTCTCCCCACTTCCCCTCTCTCTTTCTCTCTGTTTCTCTCAACTTGGAGTTCACGATTCGGTTTGTCTAGCTAGCCAGCTTGCCCCTTGGATTTCCTGTCTCTGTCTCCTGAGTGCTGGGATTACAGGTGGGCACCATGCCTGCCCTGTTGTTAATGTAGATTCTGACAATCTGAACTCTGGTCCTCATGCATGCACAGCAACCACTTTATCCATTGAGCCATTTCCCCAACCCTCTTACTTTGTATTTTCTTTTTTTTCCTAAAATATTTTACTATTTTTATTTTATGTGTATTAGTGTATTGCCTGCATGTGTGTAAGGGCACTTGTGCCATGCACTGCTCACAGAGGTTAGAAGAGGGCATCAGATTCTGCTGCAACTAGAGTTATGGATGGTTATCAGCCACCATGTGGGGTCTGGGAATTGAACTTGGGTCATCTGCAAGAGCAGCCAATGCTCTTAACCTCTGAGCCAACCACTCTTCAGCCCCATTTTGTATTTTCTTGTCATAAACAGAATGAATGTTTTTTGTGCTTTAATCTTACTTGGCTATCTTTTTATGTCTTTTACCGTTTTTGTTACATCTCATTTCCTTTTAAAAAAAATATTTATTTTTATTTTATGTGTATTGCTTGCATGTAGGTAAGTGCACCCATGTCATGCAATGCCCGTGGAGGACAGAAGAGGCTGTCAGATCCCCTGGAACTGGAATTTCAGACAGTTTTTAAAATAATTTAATGATTTATTAGTTTAATAATTTAATAATTTTTTAATAAATAATTTATTGAGAATTCCATACTTGCATATAAGGTATTTTGATCAAATCCATGCCCACTCCCCTCTGCTCCAACTCCTCCCATATTGCCCTATCACTTTTTTCTGTTCATATACTCTTTCTTCTTTAATTAATTAATTTTTTATGGGGCTTTTGGCTACTCTAACATTTCCCCCCTCTGAAGAACTAACTCTAAAATCTTTTAAGTATTAGATAAGAGCTCCCAAATATTTTCAACATTTTTGGCCTTTGGAACAGAATATGTTGCTACGAGGCCCAAGGACATTGTTAGTTTTATCCAAGAAACTGGCTGCTTTTCTTTGGGGTCTTTTTACCCTAACTGCCTAGCCAATTCCTACCTCCTATTCTTATCACACCCCTCTGAAGAGGTTACCCAGCTTGCAGTTAGGGAATCAGGATGCAGACCGCTCAGACTTCTTCCATGCTGAACAGGGACGCAGGTTGAGGCAACTGGAGTACCCCTTCAGTGGGTCTATCTAAAAGGCTCCCAAATTGCATAACTCTTATCTCAAGGAGGAAAATAAAGTCTTTGAATCGTGAATAGGAGATGTAAAGGAGAAGTAAAGGCAAGAATAATTAGTATTACAAGTTCTAGACAGGGAACTAGAAAAAAGTCAGAACGGCAATTTTCAAGTGTTCATATGAGCATCCATTGGAATTTCTTGACAAGGGCTTCCTAAAACATCCCTCTGTTGGGTTTCTCCTCATTTTTCTTTTGTCTTCCAAGGCTGGACTCTAGAGTGATGGCTTCAGGATTTGCTTTCAGGTATTTTGATAGCTGTTAGAGTGGTTAGAATCAGTGTCAGTTCCCTCTCAAAGGCTTCTAGACAGGGGGC